TATAATGCACAACGAAATATTAAGAAAAAAGAAATAGATTATATACAAAAACAAAATAAAATAAAAAAAAAATAAAATAAAAAAAAAATAAAATAAAAAAAAAATAAAATAAAAAAAAAATAAAATAAAATAAAAAAAATAGTCATATTATTGGCATTAATCTTCATTTCAAAAATGCACCTCTTAGATTACTTCAAATTTATATCTCTATTGTAGAAAAAAAATTATTTCAAAGAAATTTAAAAAAAAAATTATTACACTCTGCCAAGACTTTAAGTATAAAATTATAATTATAGGAGGCTTAAATAGTGTCCTTAATTCTTATATTGACTGTAAACCTCCTAAAAAAACATCAATTCTAGAACTGCAACTTATTAAATATCTAATTATTATTAATTTAAAGATATATATCAGTTCTTCTTTCCAATAACCAAAATTTTACCTTTTATCATTCTAATATCCAAGGTAGAATAGATCAAATTTAGACTAATCTTAGCATTACAAATATTAACTATACAGATTTTTTACTAAATAGTAACTTTGATTCAGATCACAACATCATTACTTTCAAATTATCAATTATTATCAACAAATCAAAATTATATAAATAATATAAAAGACAAAAATTTCTATAAAAAAATTGTTTTAAAGAAATTTTAGAAAACTATGCAAACCAAACTACACTTAATCTACAAAAATTAAACTTACAAATAGACCAAATTACTAATCAAATCTAACTTAAATTTTGGAACCAACTACAAAAAACTTTTTTTAAAGTTACTACCAAATACATTCCTTTTATTAAAATTAAAACTATTAAAGAAATTAAAAAACTACTTTACTAAAACAATCAATACTCTTTTATAGATTTAAAGAATTTTAATAGCTTAAAACCATACTTCTTCTACTAACTTTTCTATACTTTGTGAAAATATACAATCCAATACTCTGATTGTTTGTTCTAAATATCTACATCTACTCAACCTCAAATTAAAGAAGAATTTTATTAAATTAAAAATATTTTTAATCTCAGTAATAACAAGCTATTTATCATAAAATTTAGCAAAAAATTGAAAACTGCAATCAAAATTAATCCTTTTTAGAAACACCCAAACTCTTCTATAAGAAGATTCTAGAAAGATTTAATAATATATACATTGAAAGACTACTTCTTAACAACATTCTTTTAACAGAATATAATAAAATACTTAAAGCAATCCACTACTATTTCTCAAAATATTTCAAAAAAAACTACTTGAACCAATCTCACTTACTTCAGAATTTTACCAACTTTACCAACAACATCCTAAATATAAAAAACTTTATAATAACCTCTTTCAAAATATTACAGATTAAGAATAGCTAGATATTATAACTAGTTTATCTAATCAAAAAACTGCTGATCTATCAAAAATTTGCTATGAACATATTAAACATATTAGCTTTAAGGCACAAAATTTTTTAGAATATTCTTTAACAAATGCTTTCAACTTCAAAAAGTTTCTACAGACTAGAAATCTTCTAATATATTCCCCATTCCAAAAAAATCTGACTGAAAATTTTTACAAAATGGTTTGATTTGATTATTTTCCATAATTACCTCTTATCCGATTTAAACTTTGCAGCATCAAAAAACTCCTCAACTCACATTCCTATATAAATAATTCACAATTCCATTAAATACTACAAACTTAATAATAAAGAAGCTTAGATTCTTTTTCAAGATATATTTAAAGCTTTTAACAAGATTAATATTACTCATCTTCAAAATACTTGCAAAAGAATTGGTATCTCTCCTATAGAAATTAACTTAATTACTGAATTATACATCTCAAGACAAGCAAGAATTATAATAGCTCATGGCCTCACTTCTTTAGTTAACATCCAATCAGGAATTAAATAAGAGAAACCTACTTACTACTACTCTGAAAAATTTATTATAATTCTATATTTACCTTTATTCATTAAAAATATCAAAATCAAATATTTAAAATTGCTTCTCAATTACAATTTGACATTATTTTTAATACTACTTTTACAAGCATTTCAATTCCACTATTAGTCTATATGGATGACACAATATAGCTTTGTGAAAACTCAAAATCTATTCAAAATATCTTTAACAATACTTCTAAACTTTACAAAATCAACAACCTACTAAATCTGACTTACCTTACATTTACTCTAAATCATACACCTAATCTCTTGACCTTCAATAATTAAACTATTTCATCCAGAAAACCAAATGATATTATTAGATATTTAGATATTTATCTTGATAGAACTGGTTCAACTAAACTAACATTAGATATAATTTTTAGTAAAATTGAGAAATTCATCTGCCTTATTAGATACAAAAAACTTATATCCTTACAAATTTTATTACTTTTTAATTTAATACTCCAACTTTCTATTGAATATCTTTTATAAATTTCTATTATTTATAAAAATCTGCAAATTAAACTATCATATCTTTTTACTATTCAAACCAAAAGAATGCTATCACTTGCTAAAAATACAAACAATATAGTTCTTACTAATCTCTTAACATTTAATCTACCAACACAACAATATTGTTCAAAAAGCTAGTATTGCTAATATTGAATATATTTTTAAATTCAACTCAATTCTTAAAAATATTGGTCTTATTTAGATCAAATCATAATTAAACAAAATCTGGTTTTCTAACTTAACTCAAGACCTACTAATTACTTACAGACACAAAGTTAAAAACTTTACCTCATCTTTCAATTCTCTCAATTAGCATTAAATAATATTATATAAGGTAGCTGCATGACGCAGTCGCGCAAAACCAGGAATAGGAAATTATTTGAATGTATTAGATTATTGGTGTAGTGATGAGTCATATTGATATATATTTAATATTAGATAATTGTTACTTATTGTATGATATACGTTTGTATAATCTATTGACTTTTGTCAGCTGTTTGTGTTTTGTGAATTTTTTATTTTATAAGTTGTAAATTGTAGATGTAATAATAGAAATATAATGATACAAGTTAAGAGATGAGTTAGTAAAGTCGATATAGATGTGGTATAAAATGAGATAAGTATGGCTTATTATGTAAATAGTTCAAATATGGTTATTCCAGTATGTATTTATTTGATTGAAATATGTATACATTATTTATCAAAAATTTTTGAATAACGGTAATTTGGTTTAAATGGGCAAATGAATATGTGCCGTGAAGTGACACGTGTCAGCCAATCATTTGTCTGGTTGAATCAAATTACCATCAGCTGAGTTTTAATTCGAGTAAACGTGATTATTTGAGTGTTATGTAGGGAAAAAGGTGTCTCTGTTTTTTTTAGTAAAGTCAGATTATTGATTCGATTCAGCCCTTATGATCGACTGACAAATCGGGCTTTAAATTATATAACATACTGAAAATTATAACGTCATAAATTGGATGGATCAAAAAATTTTTTAACAAAATGTATTGTATACGTATTGTGGTCGGGTATTATATCGATATAATTTAAAGCTTTATTTGTCAGTCGATCATAAGGGCTGAATCGGATCAATAATCTGTAATTTACTAAAAAAACAAAGGTGCCCTTTTTCTTTGGCGATACTCATTTTGTAACACATGAAAAAAATAATAGAGAAATAAATTCATGATCATAAGAGTTTGTCAGATAAAAATATTTATATGATACATCAATAAAATGTAAAATTTTAATAAATGTGATGTATAGCTATTTCATACATGTATTGTAGATATATACGTATAAGCAACAGCAAATTTTTACGTAGTGTGTTTTATACAGGCCACTTGTGTTTATAATTTTGTTGATAAGCATATTACTATTTAAAAGTGTTATGGAAAAATCAAATATAAATTCATTGAGAAGAGTAGACATTTTTGTAATATTTCATTTTTTTCAAAAAAAAATTATTGAGCTATGCCTTATAATGCAGATATGATAGTTAAAATCAAGGTTGTTAGAGAAATGGAAAAAGATGATTTATTAGTAGTATGGGCTATCAGTTCTTATCCTGTTGGAGATGAAGATAGTGAGATTGAGTTAATTTTATTTGTACCAGTAAATATTGAAGAGAGAGATCCTGATTCACAAGCGATTTTTCAAAAGGATGAATACTTTTCTGTCGGAGGCAAAATTGTACCTGATCAGTATAATAATAGTATAAGGCCAAGGGTAATTTTATTTTTATTTAAATATTTGATTGGTATAATATTTAATTGTTATTAAAAAGAAATAAGATTTTAGATTTTTGAATCTATTACTATATTTAAGTTATAATGGGGATGTGTATTTTTTATAAGGATACATGAAATTAGGTGTTAAAACGTGTATTAGGTGATGCAAAATTATTTAGTTAATTTTCATAACGGACGGGTTAAAATATAAAAACTTGTAAAAAGTTTTATATGTTTTAACAACAGGGTAGGTTTTTTATAAGAAAAGAAGGTTAGTTGGGTTTGTTTAAAAAGTTTATAATACGAATTAGTGAGATATATATAGTATTAGATTGGAGTTGGTAATTAATAAGTGATAGATTAAAAAGTCAGAAATTTTATTTTTTTTAAGTATTCGATTTATTAATGATATTATGAGATTAAATTGATGAGCATCAAAAATTTTAGTTTTATTTGATTATATTAAATTTATTTTCTTAGATGACAGTTTCGACTTCTACACACCTTAAGATTCTTAGTAAAGTTGTTGGATCAAATAAATGTCTATTGAAAGTTTCTTTAGTTGGAATTGTTCAAGAAGCGTCTGATTTTAAATATGAGAAAATGCGATTGTTAAAGTTATGGTGACAAATTATTCTCATTGAGATTATAATTTTATAGTTATTGTTGTATTTCAGTATTTAGAATCACGTTTTAAAGGATTAACAAGTCATATTCGTCCAAGTGAAACAGTGGTTTTTGTTGTTAGTCAGTTAAAGTTCATAGATGATGATATTTACGTTTATGCGCAAGATATTAATTGGGTAGATACTCATTTTAATATTAAGAAAAGAGAATATGAGATCAGTAAAGGGAAAATTTTGTCATCAACAAAGTCAACTCGGTCTAAACTCCTGTCGATTCATCAAAATATTAGTAAAGGGTCTGAGAAAACATTTAAGGTTTGTGCTTGATATTTAACTGATTTTTAGTTATTCATTTTATAATTAAATAATTTTATATGTTATAGCGTGTTAAGATTGAAATTGTAAATGAAATAAGTGAAGACGTGTTGATAGGTGGTGATGCTAATAGTTTGGGTGCTAATGATGAGTCAGTAAGTAATGAGGCGGATGATTATTTGAATGAAATTGAACAAGATAATAAGGATGAGAATCAGAAGATTAGTGAAAGTAATGAGAAGCTTAAGAGCAGTAATAAGAAAGGTAAAGAGCGAGCTGTTCGTAAAGTAGTTCACAACATCAGGTCATCTATTTTTAAGATAGATATTAATAATGAAAGTGAGTAAGGGTATATGAGTTTTTTTTTTTGAGATAAGGGTGAATATTTCTAAATGGGTATGAGTCTATATGCGTATTAAATTGGGTTATTCATTGATCTTTGTCGCATTTTAGTTAATATATAATTATGCAGAATAAAGAGGAATAGTGTTTTCATATTATTTAGAAGATTTATTTTTAGTTAAAATTTTATGCACGATTTATTGGGTGAGATATTCGAGATTGATTAATAAATAAGTGATTGAATTAAAAGGATTAATATGAGTGAGAAAATTAGAGCTTATCTTAAATACTTTGGTCTGATTAATCTATGATAATATTTAAATACTAAATACTGTATGAGTAAAGGAGAATGATTCGAGTATATCAGCTTATTTATCATATCCTCAGTAAGAGTAGATATATTGGTATTCACAATTAAATATCTTTACATATATATATGTATAGTCATGCGTACATGTAGGCAATAATAGTTGAAAAAGACAATGAACTTTATTTAGTAACGTTGCAAAGTTTAGCAGGGATGATGGAGTGGTTTTAAATTATATTTTGTTACATTACAATATGAAGTAGTAAGTAATTTCAGTTTTGATTAATAAATCTAATAAATGGATATAAGATAATACAAGTAGGTTAAGTACTAAATGGATTGTTTATATTATACAAACATAACTATAGAGTAATTTTTTAAGATATATGATTAAAACTTAAAAGTTTAACAGAATAAATATGATGATTATATTAAGTTGAAATGCAGAGTTTATGAGGATTTTTTTTTTTTTTTTTTTTAAGAGTGAGGCCTGGTCTCAGTCTTTATTTAATAATTATGCATTACATTAATTAAATGGATTACATAAATTATTACAGGGACTAATTTATTTTTGGCCCAAAGCTCTACTAGAGTGGGCTACTTGGCCTTTACTAGATTTAGGTTAGCATTTATGAGGATTTCTATCAACATTTAAAATCAGTAAATGCATAAGCTGGGGTTAAAAGAAGCTGAAAACGTTGAAATTTTTTTTGAATTTTAGTCCCATCATACTTCCAAGCAGTATAGGTATATCCAAGTTTGACAGGATATATGGGAGCATAACTTTATTGGTAAATCTTTATATATATTGGGTGACTTGTCAGTTAGTTCTATAATAATATATTTAGAAGAAGTTTTTAGTATTAATTTTCTTTGTGAAAAAGAGTCAATTGATTCTTTATCATAAACAATTTGTTTAATAATACCCAAAGTGCTGTTTGCTAAATTATTATTGACACAAATATTTATAGTAAGAATGACTTTCATTCCAATAAACAGAGGTAAAATTCCACAAAGAGCATTTTCTTTTGAATTAGATGTTGATAAAAACTTAGACGATTACTTCTGGTTAAAGAATTTCAATGATAAGTATCTTTTGCACAGGAATACAATAAAGGTTGTTGAAGGCGTTAAGCATGTTCTTTTGCTGCATCAAAATTTAATTAGATACGAATATCATTTCTAGAAACAAGAAATGTAACATTAGCCCATTATGGTTGATTAATTCTGTCATCTCCAAGGACTTTAGAATGTAAAGCTATTTGATGTTCATCAGTTAGCTGCCCATTACGCATAGTATTGAGGATATTAGCATAAAAGGGATCATTTATTTGACGCATTGATTTTTTTAATTGAATAACATGTTTGACATTTAACCAGAGATCTCTACCTAATGCGTTCATTACTGTCCGATTACTGATTGACAAATTAGTATCAAATTTTCTTTTATTACTTTTTTTTGAATTTTCTATATTATTATTAATTAATTTATCTGATAATATAGTAATGTGGTTTAGTTTATTTGGTACATAAAGTGCCAGATCTAAAACAGGAGGTAGTTGCATAAAGTCACCAGAAAAAAGAATATTTAGTCCAGCAAATAGAGCAGAACTGTTTGTTGCTTTTACCTTTTTTGCAAAGGAATGAAATCGTGCAAAAAGTGACTGACCTATCATTGAAATTTCATCTAAAATTACATATTCAATTTTAGACCAAATTTCTTGTAAGGTTTGTAGCATTTCATCATTCATTGAATCAGTACTAGTATATTCTTCGAAGCCAAATTTGCATGCAGAATGAATAGTGCTACCTGAAATATTTACTGCTGCAATTTCAGTTAGTACTAATACAATAAGTGTATTTTGTTGAAAAGTATATTCAAAATAAGATCGTATTTTATCTATGACTTTAGATTTTTCAGTTCCGCCTGCACCTGTAAGATAAAGTAGTAGCTGAGCTGGTTTATCTAAACACATTGGGTGATTACGATGATGATGATCACATACAAGAAAATATGCTTTTTTTTGTTCATTATTTAATCCAACTGAAAGGTTTTCTAATGGATTATCTAAAGTATTTGATTTAGAAGATAAATTATTTTGAGTATTATATGAGTGTTTAATATCTATTTTTGATAAATTATTACTTTCTAATCTAACTGCATCTTCATCTTGTATTCTTTTTCGAGAGGTAATTGTCATTTGCCAATCTGTTAAAAGATCATTATCATAGTTATTGCTTATACGTATATTATCATTAGCAAAGATTAGATTTTTATCAAATTGATTAAAATTACTAATATCAAATTTATTAAGAATTGTTGATGCTATACTGGTTTTGCTTGTAAATCTTCCTTGAATATGTAAAAAGTTTATAGCATTATCTACAAGATGAATATTTTTTAAACCAGACCGAACAATTGCTGCTGGATTAAAATCAGTTGAATGTTCATTGAGGTTATTAATTATAAAATTATCATCATTATCACTAAATAAGACTAACTCATTATCATTATATCCAGACATAGAACGATCGATTCGTTGTGCTTTTGCAAGCATAGAATTATCTTTTGTACTTTTTCTTAGTTCATAGTCTAAAGTTGATTCTTCTGCACAATGATGCAAAAGTTCAATATTATTAATAACAAATCTTAAACGTGGAGACAACAAAGGGCTACAGAGAAAAGCTTCACAAGCTTCAGTCCATGTATTATAGTTTTCTCAAAGATCATGAACTGTTTCCCATGGTTTAAAAAGTAGAAGAATACACATTCCATAACATTCCTTATTTTCATTATCATTTTTTTTCGGAATACATTTACCATATAAAGTAACAACTCTTTCTGTTCCACAGGTTCGGTGTATCTGAATGAGTTTTGCTTTGTGAATGTATATTATTATGTGAAGATATTTGATTATTATCAAATTCTCCTCTACGAAATAAAAACCTGTCAACACAGGCATTTCCTTCTCTTGAATGCTGAAGTGCTAACATAGAAAGTTCATATGAACTTATTGGAACCTTTTTAATAGTAGCAGCATAATCATATAGACAGATATGATATAATGCTTTATTTTGAAATTGATAATCAACTCGAAGGTTTGCAACCATTAATTTGCCATTAAAAGAAGATATCAGATGTATATATAGAGGATCCTTCTATGATGAATCATAATGAAAGTCTTTTGGATAAATCAAATAATCAAAGTCAGGATAATGGTTTGGATCAAACCCAATGATTATTGCAAATGATAGCAGATGCATTAGCTCAAGAAGTCCAACCAAAGAAACAAATTATTGTCAAGATTCCTATATATGCTGTTAGGACCCAAGACCCTATAGGATGGTTGAAATCGGTAGAACAAGTCTTCGAAGCGAACAATATACAGGAAGAAAGAAGGTTGGCAATAATTGAGCCCCATTTATCCAAAGTGGCTGCGAATTGATGAGCAAATCTAAGGTATAATGTATGGTATTGGGACAATAAATATGCACTTAACAAAGTTTTGCCTATTAATTTAGCAAGCTTTTTGCTCTCAAGCCTTGGTCGCTCAATAGAATAACAAGTTGATAACAAGATGACAATATGTGAGTGAAATGGTGGCCCAATACATGTCAGATATACTGATATTATTTAATCAAGTAAGTAGAGTTGGAAGTCAGTACTCAGAAGTAGTAAAGGCGCAGATGTTCATACAAGAGTTGTGCCCTGATCTCTTTTTAGCAGTGGGACCTTTCATATCAAATACATTGCAAGATGCGATCGATCAAGCCCGGGTATGTGAGATGACATTTTCACGTGAACTGGCTCTTTGCGGACCTGTGGCAATTTATAATTTGATGACTAGGTCTTTGCCTCAACAATTGTAGTTACAACAACTATGGACACCACAATCACAGCAAGCCTTTCAACCTCAAGTATCAGTGCAACCTTTGTTTCAAACACAACCAATGATATTGTTGCAACCTCAACCTTCAATGATAAATCAGCAACCCAATAATACAAATCAAAATTCTGTAGATCAAGTAATTTTATTGTTACAAGAGGTAGTAACAGCAGTAAAGATGAATAATAATAATAATTGCTCTGTTATAAATAACAATCAAAGAGAAAGAAGTAGTCATAGATTGATCTGTTACTTATGTCAACAACTGAGCCACATTGCAAGAGACTGTCTAAATACAATTTGCTGTAGTAATAATGGTAAAAATATAGCTCAAATATTGGCTTTTGATAATTGAGGCAATATTGAAAATAACAGCAATATTCAACCCAACAATGGATCTCGGGCTCAAGTAATGTTTGCCTAAATAGATGATGAGTTTGGGTATTTAAACTAAAAGACACACCTTTAGAGAGTGAGTGTGTGTCGATGTCGAAAAACCCCTTAGTAAGAAAAATTGAAGAGGCCTAACTGATGAAACGACAATGCAAGGCCACTGACAACCTTGAAGAAATTGAAGCCCCACCTCGAAATGAACCTGCAAAAAAGGTTGTTGAAGTAAGTAAGAATCTGAATATTATAAAGCTGGGCCATGTTGCTAAGAAGGTGAAGGTCGAAAAAAAGAAATGAATGAAGCTGATGGACCCTCCTGTAATAACTGGTGTTCAACCATTTTCAATTATATCAGACTTGCAGAATAAAAAGGCAGATATAACCAACACCCAGTTATTCCAAGTTGCCCAGGTGTTAGAAA